GTAAACAAATATAAGCTAAAAAGGCCATCTGAAATTATAGGCTTTTATAGACACTTGATCTCCTCCTGGCTTAAATTTTTCCCCTAGTGATATTTGATTTTTGCATCCATCAGATTAACAAAAACATTTAGGCATAATCCTTTTTGCAACAACAACAACAACAACAAAAACAAAAATGATTTAACACAGAGCTGTTAAACAAACTATAAGGACAAAACACTCCGAGATTTACTTTAAAATACAATCCTGTTGGTCCAAATGGGATTTAAATGAGCCTACAGGAGGATCAGGGAGTTCTTTGAAAACAGTAGGTAATTTTGCTTGTAAATATTACTCCAGACAGGTAATATTAAAATCACACCACCTAGTCTAGAGAAATAAATTCCATCCAGGTGGGGATACAGCCTCATTCTGGTTTCATCAAACTGCCTTTCAAACTTTATCCAAGAACTCTGTGTCTTCTTCTTGTCCTTCTCTCAACAAAATGAATCATACAAATGGGACAGTCCCTCCTTAGAGGCATCCATGGTGTTGCTCTTACAGTACTGTTACAAATGATGAAGTAGTTGTGCAAAGAACAAAAAAAGAAAGCTGGAGAAGTTCAAACCTGCCTCCTTTCTCACCTTCACAGAAGCAACCTGGCCATTAGACCTTTTTCACTGAGGGGGAAAAACACAGGTGGAATTTGTGGAAATAGAAGATAGAAATAGATAGAAATACTTTATTAATCCCAATCTGGGAAATTGCATCATAAATTCCCAATCTGGGAAATAAAAATAAAGGACCAATGGCCGAATTCCATTTAGCTGCTTCAGTGTCAAAGTCCGGGTATTGTTCATGGTGGCTCACTGTCACACTGACATGGCTTTACTAGGACAAGACGGAAATGTTGTTAGTGTTATTAGTAACATCAGTGCCGTCCAGACGGACCTTGTTAGCTCATCTAACAATCTCTAGTGTCAATGTCAAGTTGCAGTGCACTGTGCAAGTTGTACTGTATACAGCTTAAACTACAAACTTATAACTACAGTATTTTATTCATCCATATATAACTGAAGGCATTATTTGTGCATAACTGGCCCTTAACTAGACAAATATAATGGCCCGGGCTGTGGTTGCTAGGAGCTTTGTGACACAGCTGCAGAGACTTGATTGATCTCATGGGAAAATACATTTTTGGCTTGTCGGTCTACACACTAAGCCAGCAGAGTCTTGTCTGGCCCAGGGGACAATTTAACAGAGAGGATGCTCAGTGACATGGGGCCTTGAACCCTGGTTCTCTGCTTGAGGAGCAGTTTTAAAACCCCAGGGTCTGTCAGCCTCCCTCCTACAGCCTGCATCAGGTGGGAGAAAGCAGCCACTGCATGTTTCAGCAGAATCTGTCCTCCATCTTCCTAGTCAGTGTCCCAGATGTCTGTGCTACAGTAAACTACACAGATTACAAACATGTGTGTAAAAGCTTTTTTGCAGCCGCACTCACTCAGAATGCTCAAAATAGTGTGCACTGCTCACACACATACACAAAGATGCACACTCCTCTCCCATGAAGGATGTACTATCTCTCCTAACACTTGAATCATTTGTTTCCTCTTGCTCTTTCCCCATACTACATAGTCTGCTTCTCTTAAATGTTAGAAGGGGGTATATACACAGCAATATAAAATGTAATATCACTAATCTTTAGGCTTTACGCACTGCTTCCTATATCCTACTTGAAATGAAACTTTATATGCTTGGCTAAATGTTATGCACCTTTCAAGATCCAAGAAACCCATGGAAAACATACTTTGTCACTTTGTACCCTTCTGCTGTGTTTCACTGATTTCCCAATGCAAGAGATCTCAGTATGAGTGCAGCTGTAGTGAAGCTCCGTCTCTCTGTTATCCTTAAGTTAACCCTCACTGTGTCATCTTTATACCAGCTTCCCTCATTAGCTCCCTCTCTTTCAGTGTCCTACTGTATCTCTCACCCTCTCAACACTTTCCCCATTAAATTCACATTTCAGCTCTCCCCCTTCTATTTCTTCATTTCTTCCCCTTCCCCTGCCTTCACTGTACCCTCTCTGCTTATTTCTTATCTCAGTAAGTTTTCAGATGGGACCTACTTTTCCCTCTGCAGCATAACCCCTGGGGAGGATCATCACCCTGTTTGCATGTGTGTCTGTATATATGTGTGAGCGAGTGTGTGTAAGAAAGAGAGAGAGAGAGAGAGAGAGAGAGAGAGAGAAAGAGAGAGAGAGAGAGAGAGAGAGAGAAATACTTTGTTCTTACTATCTCCAAGAGTCCTCAGAGGAACAGAAATAAAAAGTGGCCATATGTGTGCAACATTTTCCAGTGTGTGAATGTGTGTCTTTGTACCTACATGCAGTATGTGTGTATTACAGGAGAAAAATGACGTTCGTCCTTCAGAATGGAATCTTCCTGTCATCAGTCTAATTTTCCTCTGCACTTTTGGCTAAAAGCAACTACAAAAGAGAGCAGCTTAAAGAAATATACGGTTGGATTTGTTTGAATGGCCTTGCTTAAAAAAGAGTGTGAGGGGAAGCGAGACTAGATGACTCTGATCTTGCATGGTTCTCCCATGGTACCTCTGGTTGCATAATATATGTTTCCTTATAAATCTGAACTATTGTATTGTGCAAAATGTAGCCAGGCAGCTTCCTGTTTCATAAAACAAGGGTGACCTGATGGTAAAGTTGCACAGTATACACTTTTTCAATACAGTGCCTTTTCCTCTTCTGCTGAATTTTAAATACTTTTTCAAAGAAATGCCAGAAAAGAGTTTCACTGTTTTTGTTTGCAAAGAGAGATATTATGTGGCAACAATCAACTGTGACTTTGTAAATGATTAAGAAAAACTTCTTGAAAGGAGATATGAATAGCTGAGTTTGGTGTGAAAAAAATCAATTTCTTTAGCAGCTCTTGTCATTACCTCCTTTCTCTAGTGGAAAATAAATCATATCCTACAGCAGGTTTCAGTGCTTAGAGCCCTGCTGATTATTCTGTTCCTCTAATCAGGGAGTGATTTATACCTGGTATGCTAAATGAATGCAATCAACTGGTAGGTAGAACAAAGCGCTTGTTCCACTTTATGTCCTGAGGACCACAGCTGAGATCCACTGAGCTACTGGAGGATATGCATAAAACATCCCAACACCCATCCAGGAAATAGGCTGAGATGAAAAACTCTCAGCTTTACATGATACAACCCCAAATCAGAAAAAGTTGGGACATTATGTAAAATCATAACTAGAACTGAAAATAGTGGTATGTAAATCATCGGTGGCCTGTATTACACTGAAGACAATACAGCAGCACATTATTTGATGTGATACCTCATCAGTTTTATTCTTTGTTCAAAATCAACACTAATTTCAATTCTGATGCTGCAACATATTCCAGAAAAGGTTGGGATGGCTGCAATACAGGGCCAGTAAAGAGGTAAAACAATGAAATGATGAGTCCATTTGAAACAGGTGATGTGATCATGATTTGGTACAACAGTGGCATCGAGGAAAGGACGAGCCCTTCAAGAGCAAAGACTGGCAGAGGACCACCAGTTTGCCAACACATGCATGAAAAAAATTATTGAACTGTTTAAAAACCATGTTCCTCAAAGAAAACTAGAAAAGGATTTGGACATGTCACCCTCTACAGTGCAGAGCATAATTAAAAGATTCAAGGAATCTCAAGGGATTTCAGTGCTTAAAGGGATGACCGTGCTCTCCGATCCCTCATCCATAAACTTATGGATGTAACTTATAAAGTTACATCCATAAACTTTAACCTTTACTGTGCCAAAAGGAAGCCCCGTGTCAACAGTGTCTAGAAGCTGCAGTTGACTGTTCTGGGCTCAGAGGCCTCTGGGATGGACCATCACACAGTGGAAACGTGTACTGTGGTCAGACAAATCAGTGTTTCAGGTCTTTTTGGAAGGAACAGACACTGTGTGCTCCAGACCAAAGATACTTAGGACCATCCAGACTGTTACCAGCAACAAGTCCAAAAACCAGGCTCTGTCATGGTCTGGGGTTGTGTCAATGCCCTTGGCAAAGGTAACTTACACTTCTGTGATGGCGCCATTGATGCTGAACAACACGTAGAGACTTTGGAGCAACATGTGTTGCCTTCAAGACGACATCTTTTCCAGGGACGCCCATGCATATTTCAACAAGACAATGCAAAAGCTCACACTGCACATTATCAAGGCCTGGCTATGAAGGAAAAGGGGGCGAGTGCTGGACTGGCCTTCCTGCAGACCTGACCCGTCCCCAACAGAGAATGTGTGGCAAAACTTAAATTGCATCAACAAAGACCGTTGTGCACCTTAAGACTTGTTTACAGGAGGAATGGGACAAAATTACACCTGACACACTTAATAACTTGGTGTCCTGAGTCCCTAAACATCTTTTAAGTGTTGTGAAAAGGAACAACATCATCACACTGTGGTAAATGCTTTACTGTCCCAACTTTTTTGTGGGGGGTTGAGGTGAGTGTTTATTTTGAACAAAGGATCAAATGTATGAGGTATCGCATCGAATAATGTGCTGCTGTATTGTTTTCAATGTAATACAGGACACAGATGATTTACAAATCACTAGTTTTTGTTTTAATTTAGATTTTTACAAACCGTCCCAACCTTTTCTGCTTTGGGGTTATACATGTTTTCTTTCCTGAGGGACTAGGTTCCTATGAGGTTACATAAATGAGGCTGAAAGTCACCAACACTTCAAAAATGTTATTTAGTCACAGAATGACCTTGGCTCAACTGAGATCATCATCTATCACTTAACTCTTATCTCCCCATGCATGCATTAGGCTACATTAGACGAAAGTCTATATGTCTAAATACTGACACTCACGTGGGCTTTAAAAAATAAAGCCTTAAATCTTCTAGGAGTTCGGTAGATGAATGGGGACATGCATGTGGGATGAAAAAAAGTTTGGGATACACTCTCCTGTGTTTCTGCCATCCTCTCACACACTGTGCAGCTTGCCTACCTTCCAAAGTCACCTCTTTACCAGCCCGTTTCAGCGCCTGCACAGCCTCGTCGTGGGTCGCGTCCCGCAGGTTCATACCGTTCACGGACAGGATGGCGTCTCCGACATACAGAGCCTGGGTCTGGTCCGCTGCGAGTCCTTTGAATATCTTACTGATGAGGATAGGCATTTTATTCTCCTTGCCACCTTTGATACTGATCCCAAGCCCCCCGATCTCCTGCTTGGTCACCTTGACGCACCGCTTTCTGTTGGCGATCGCCTCGGGCACTCTCTCCGGGGGGTCCGTGAACGCTGTGCGCACAGTCTGGGGTCCGTTGCTGGCGTTGGTGTTATTGTTGTCATGATAAGATCCGCTGGTAACGCTGTTAGAGTTGGCATTATCATTCACGTCGTCTTTAACGCTGCTCTCCTCGCAGATTAACGTGAGCGCTTCCTCGTTCAAGTTGACCAAAACTTTGTGCCACCTCTCCCGCACCAAAACCTCCATAAATCCACTTTTTTGCACTCCAGAGGCACCCGAAACCCCGGTCGCTATTACCACCGCCATCTTTTGAGCATTTCTTTCCAATGACATGTGATTTTATTCCCAGCGCGCCCTCACACATTAACTTCCACCCGGTTTCCCTCACGCTGGACTTTGACCCACGAAAGTTTTCTGCGGGCCTTGTCAGGCGTCCCGACCAACCAGCCCGAGCGCTGACAGCACAAGCTGTCCTTCGCTCTGCCTGCCCGAGACCCCATCTGCTGGGTGGAGTTTACTAGCCCCGCCGTCAGTCGATCCCGTCTCCAGATTCTGCATGCACAAAATGTGTTCATCATTTCCCCATTGCGTTTAACTGGTACAGAAATTAACAGGCTATAAGAAGTACAAACAACAGCAATGCATTACTTTATAAGTTTCACTTGCATCATATCGACAGCATTTACCACGATACTTCAACTGTGATGGTCAAATAGACAATATCAGTTATATTAGCCTTTAGATAAAATAAACGTCTGTTTCGTGAGCAAAGCCCTATTTTGTTTTGCGCCAGTTGCGCGCATGAAGATGTGACCGAAACTTGGATATTTTATTATGCATTAAAATACACTTTTAAACCGAATAAACGATTAAAAAATGTGACTAGAAGTGAAGTTTACAGCCTTAAATGTCCAGTGGGTCCCACTGTGCTATACTTGACCGCGTTCACGGTGAAGTGAGACCGGTTACGCGCGTGCTGGAATGCGCTTTTGTCAGTTTTGAAGGTTTCTTAGAGAGAGACCGATAGAGAAGGGATGTTTTGTTCGGAAGTTGTGAAATGGAAAGCACCCCCCACGCTCTCCATCCCTCTAATATTAACCCTGGAGACATCCTCACGCCCTGTCAGTCCGTCACGGCAGAAGCACTGGACTGTGAAGGTACAGCCAGTATTACCGCTGTAACGATGGACGGTTTCCCCGTGGTCCGACGTGCTGTGTTTCAGTTACCCGGGTTCACACCCCATGTGAGAGACAAAAAGGAGATAAGGACAGGACATAATGCCTATTGGGGGGAGGGGTCAGCAAAGGTTTAGTATTTTAGACGCAATGACAATTAGAACCATGTATATACTTTCTCTTTCAGCAGCTTTCACTCTGAGACACAATCCTGCACATACGACCAGGAGAACCATGCTTTTGAAATGTAGCTAGGACACCTACTGGTGACACTAAATAGGTGCTGCCTGTCTGAAGGTTCATCTTTGCTCTGGCATCATAGTAAATACACAATAAAGCCTCCTGATAAACAAAAATATACAAAAGGGATCATTTGTGCCAAGTTCAAAAAGAAATGAATAAACATACTTTTAAATCCATAACGTGTATCAACTTTTGCTATAATATTAATGGTGCTTTGTGATGTGTGGTTTTCTCTGAATGCTTCTTCTGTTTTGTAAATTAGCCTTTTAAATAAAAATATTGAAAAGCTGGTCTAAATTTGGACTTATATTAAATGATCTATGTGAATATTATGGAAACCAAGGGCATTATTTTATATTATAATTTATATATTAATGTATAATTAATATATAGTTAATTAAATTGTACAATAATGGGAGTATACAGTGGTTTTCTGTCTTGTGTAGGAGTTAAGCCTCCACATAGACCCGCCCTCTAAACTACATTGTTACTGAACTGCAATAAAGACAGGATTATCTTATTTAATTTGAGAAAGAGACTGCAACAGAAATACTAGGACTACTTCGGTTTAATGAGGCACAGGAGTTACATTTGATTTCTACTTTTATATGGAAATGAGCTATCAGATGAATTTTACATTCTTTGTTGTGTTAATGACCTTCAAAATAAACAAACAAACAAAGAAAAAATAGAGCACGCAATCTTATTAAAGGTGGTGGTATTTAAAGGTTGTTAATGAATCTTTTTTAATCCTCAGTCAGCCAACACACTGATTGATTACACACTTTTCTCCATTGTAACAGGGAGAAGCTGCAGAGAGGCACCACTACACACAGGCTTCTTAATTAAGAAAGGGGTGTGCCCTGCTAGGAGCTTGAATCCCTGCAAGAAGGGATTCAAGCTTCTTATCTGAATGGTTTTAGCATACTTAAAATATGGGTATGTTTAAATGATAAATGTTGTGACTCAGTTTCCCCTACCCATCATTTGTCCCTTTCTTTCTGCCACCACTTCTGTCCACCGTCAGTCATCCTCCTTAATGTTGGTTTTGCAAGTTTTTATTTCTTTTTACTCCAGCCATTATTTCTTCTATTGTCTTGATCTTTTCATTCACCTTGCAAATGAAATACATTTTCCACATATTACTTTCACTGGCATGAGCACTGTGTAAGAAAATACTAGGCATGTTTGTTCAGACTGAGAAGGTGCCTATTTTCAGAGATGAGGCTAAAGAAATGTTTCCCCCCTGCTTTCTGCACCATCATATTATTTATTGTGACCTGTGGAGGTGCATGGATAAGATTCTGCAGCAGATGTTGTTGGTACAAACATCAAACAATACATTTTTTCCCCGTTCCTGTCTGTGATTTAATTTCTTTGTGAAAATACATTTTTTTTCCCGTTCCTGTCTGTGATTTAATTTCTTCGGTCCTTCCTCTTTCTATTTTCCTTCTATCCATTGGATTTCCTTCCCTCTCCCCCTTTACCTCATCTCTCCATATTTTCTTTGCTAGTTTCTCACCTACATTTTGAACTAATCCTCATCCATCCATCATATAAGTCCCATTAAAACATAACTTCAGAATCTGACCAAGTAAGTAACAACTTAATAAACAAAAAATCCTTTGTTGTGAACATTATTTTGACCGCAATTTTAAATAACTATAGCCTATTGCAAATATATAACCTCGGTTATGTTCAATTCTGCACAGTTCAGAGCCAAGCAAATAAAGGCAAATTATTATTTACTGAATTGATGGTTCAAAGCACCAGGGTTGAAACTAAGAGAAAAAATAAAGAAAGAAAAGCAGGCAAAAAGTGCACAGTAGACATGCAGGCCAGTTATATTTACTGGTGAATGAATTGGGGTATTGTGAGCTGCTGCCCCAGTGGGTGTGGAGGTGAGGTGGTGTTGGATGGTAGGAAATTCAGGGGACAACTACAGGACAGAGAGGGAATAGCAGGCTCCAGAATAACGGAAACAACAGGCAGAGTTAGTGATGCAGACGGACAACAAGGGAAAATACACACAAACATTAACCAAGCACAAGTTACTCTAAATAGTGTACTGGTGGTGAAATAGTATTTGAAATTGAAATGAACATTATTTCCACCATGTGGATTTATATCTGTTTGGCAGCACTACAGTAAGAAGTGGTTGAAATGCTTCCTATGACAAATTAGGCAATGAAAGTAAAAAGAAGAAGTGAAATTTGTTGTTATCCACTTTAACTGGTTTAATATATGTCCTCTCAAGCTCAATAATTAAAATCAATTGAATGTGACACACAAAATCAATTAAAGTGACAACAGGAAAAAAAACAATTTACAAATTCTTTATTAGCTTTACTATTGTTCGTTTGTGCATTTCATTTAATGTCATTTCTTTTGACAAGGTTCAAGTATTAAGGGGTTAATTTTGTAACAGAACAACAGATGGGAGGAGTATTTGACAGAGGGGAGGCACACCATTGCATCATTTTCTGAGAAATGAAACCACATTGTGGCTATGGTGCAACTGATAAAAACATTCCGTTTGTGCATGCATATGCAAAGATTGACACCAAGCAGAGCAAAGCATCCAAGAAGGTAAAGTTTAAATTCTTAGTTAACGTCTTTATATTGTATATTTACAATATTCTGACTTTGCAGAATATTCATAGCAATGTATAATACGTAATGAAGGCAACACCTTTTTTTAAAATACAAATCCAGATGCAGGGACTGGTCGTGGCAAATTTTGTTTATTTGGTGAATTCCCGTAGCTTATAGGCTTTTCTAATAAACTTGAGTTTGCAGAGTCCTAACCGTCAACTTATGAACTTTTTGCCATCAGAAAGAATAAAATGTGGCTGATGTTGATTTGTTGTCACAGAATGAGGCTGGCTGAAACCAGAGTCAAAATAAAGGCTAACATCAATCTTTATATTCTTTGCATTGATGACATGAGATCACTGGTAATTTGAAGGGTGCATTGATCCAGACTGATGGCTCATTACACCCTCGATAATCACCGATGGTTCTTCCTTATAAAACCTGTCTTTTCCCATAGACATGGCCTCAGCCAGCAGTTTTCTCTCTGAAGATCAGTTTCTGTGCTCGGTCTGCCTGGATATTTTCACCGAGCCTGTTACTATTCCATGTGGACACAACTTCTGCAAAGTCTGCATCTCCAGGCACTGGCAAGGCAAGGGGCAGTGTCAGTGTCCGCTGTGCAACGAGAAGTTTAACAAAGGACTCAAACTTCGTGTCAACACCACCTTCAGGGAAGTTGTGGAGAATTTCAGAAAGAATCAAAACATCAAAACTAAACCTGATTTCCTCGTCAAACCAGGACAGGTGCCTTGTGACTGCTGCCTTGGCAACAAGTTCAGAGCCTCTAAAACCTGTTTGGTATGTTTGGCCTCTTATTGTGAAATACATCTGGAGCCCCATCAGCAGGTTGCTGCCTTAAAGAGACACAAACTGACTGATCCTGTACAGAATCTGGAGACCAAGATATGCAAGAAACACAACAGGATTTTGGAGCTCTTCTGCAGGAATGACCTGATTCATGTTTGTGGCTTGTGTACAGAACATAGCACTCACGATAGAGTCCCTTTAGAGGAAGAGTATAAAGAGAAGAAGGCTCAGGTGGAGCAGAAAAAGGTGGAAGTACAGGAGATGATACAAGAGCGGCAAAAGAAGGTTCAGGAGATAAACAAAGCAGTGCAGACCAAGAGGAAAGACAAAGATGAAGCAATAGCAAATACTTTTCAGGTGTTTCATACTTTGGTAGTCTCCATTGAAAAACAGCTGCCTAGGCTGGTGGGGGTAATAGAAGGGAACCAGACAAGAGTAGAAAGACAGGCTGAGATGCTTGTCATAGAGCTAGAAAAGGAAATAAGCGAGCTCCAGAGGAGTATCCCTAACCTGGAGCGCATCTCACACATCAAAGACCACCTCCAGCTCATCAGGAGCTTCCAGTCCCTCTCCTCCTCCTCTTCGTGCACCAAGAACTGGTCGAACATCAGTATCAATGGTCAGCACAATGTCGAGGATTTAAAGAGAGTTATGGGCCAGCTGGAGGAGACAGTCACCAAAGAAGTGGAGCGAGCTAATCAAGAATTCAGGGTGTGCTGTGATAAAATCCTTGCTGAAGAAACCGAAACAGTGAAAGCACACACATTCATAGATCTAGAGAGCCTGCCTGAAGGCATCAGGTTGGATGCAATCCGGCAGCAATATACTGTGGACATGACATTTGACCCATGCACTGCAAATGATCTGCTCCTGTTTTCAGAGGATTTCAAACAAGTGCAAACCTCTCACATTTGGTGGTTTGGAAATGAAAATCTGCACAAATTCAACCGGTATGCCTACGTCCTGGGGAAAAGGGGCTTTTCTAAAGGGAGATTCTACTATGAGGTTCAGGTTGCAAGGAAGACTGGCTGGGATTTAGGTGTAGTCAGAGAGTCAAAGAGAGTGAAAAAAACATTCACACCAAGTCCCAAGAATGGAGTCTGGATCATTAGGTTGAGAAGCAACACCAAATGTAAGGCCCTAACTAATGTCCCTGTCAACATCCCCCTGATGAAGAAACCTGAGAGAGTTGGGGTGTTTGTAGACTATGAGAAGGGCTTGGTGTCTTTCTATGATGTGGACACTGCAGCTCTGATCTACTCTTTCACTGACTGCACCTTCAATGAGAAAATCTACCCATTCTTTAGCCCTGGCCCTTCTGAGGACGGTATCAATAGCGCCCCTCTTGTTCTCTTGCCTGCCAAAACCTCAACTTTCTGGACACAATTTTCAGAGTTTTTCAGCCTGATTTTTACTGTCATTGCTCTGGTTTTGGTTTCATTTTATTGAAAATGACATCTTCATGGTCATCTTTTACAGAGACAGGGTTGAAAAATCTGAAAGGTTATTAATCTAGGAAAATCTGATCATGATAAGACCAGTCCTTGGATATTATGGAAAACTAAGCCATTCATACATTTTTACAGATATGTGAAACTCAGACAAAGCTTAAGATAAGTTTAACATGAATTTTTTTTATAATGTAATCACTATAAATTACTCTATATTGATTACTTTCTTTCTCGGTAAAAGCTTTTTGATGCTGGTGTTAGATGTTTGTCATATACCCATACACTAGCATGTACAGTACAGTATTAATGTAATCACATTTATCATCTGCATTTAACAAAAGCCTTTTAAAGGAATTAATGAATAAAAAAAATAAACAAATAAATAATGAATGATGGTATTGGTGGTCTAAAAGTGAGAGAAGCGAGACAGACAATTATTAACAACAGCTTGTAAAGTTTGCTACAGTGTTAGATATACAGTACTTGTAAAGACAGCAAAGGTTGAAATCAGCATCTCCTTCCAGTCACAAAGTCATCTGTCACCTGATTGTATAACAAAATGCATTTACATGTTGCACATTTTTTGTAAATTGCAAAAAAAAAAAAAACATCATTTTGCTTATTTTGTCTTTAGTTAACTTCTCAGTGTTTCATACACAAAATTAATTTACATAAAGTTTCTTTTTTAATGAAACATGGTGGTAGTGTCATTTCTGAAATGAATCAACTGCTCTAAACATTTTAGATTAGGGTCACCTGCTGAAAGCATGTTTACTTTCAGCAGACGAGGACAGAGGTTTATTTAAATAAACCACTAGAGGGTATGAGAGGCTGCATGAGACATAAATCATACTCATATAAGTCATACACATAACCCCATAATCTCACACGTCCACTACTATACTCTTCCACACACACTACTATACCCTCTTATATGTACAGTCATACTTTCCTTTATTTACATCCATACTCTCCTACACAATCTATTATTCTCTTTAACACACAATACTCTCTTACATGCACCATCATAGGCCCACCCTTTCAGCCCCATATATTCTCATACACACACACGCACACACACACTTGCATGCACATATATTATATTCTTGCATCACATGTAAGTGAGTTTAATAGTGTATGTGAAACAGAATAATAGCATATGTAAGAGATACTAATGGTCTGTGTGAATGAGAATAGTCAAATGTAAGAAACAGCATGATAGTGAATGTGAGACAGAACAGTTGTCTGTGAGAGAGAGATTGCTTGAAAAGGAAATATAACTGAATTCTCAGTTCCTGATAGGCTTATCTTCGTACACCAGGGATTTGGCCTGCTATTTGGATCATGAGGAGAACATGGTGGACAAACGATGGCTCAGTGAAGCCCTTCAAGTGCAGCATGGACATTGCGTAATGACTTTTTTGCATTGTGTTTACTTGGAGTAATTGGGTATCATACAAATTGTTGATATGCTTATATAAAGTTTTATTTCCTTTTTAAGCAAACTCTCTTCCCAAACTCCCTCACACAGGCAGATATTCTGTCTCACATTCACTATCATGCTGTTGCTTACACATGACTATTCTCATTCACACAGACCGTTAATATCTCTTACATATGCTATTATTCTGTATCACATGCACATCATGCAAACTCACTTACATATTCTATCATAATTTATTACATATACAATTATTCCCTCTTACATAAACTGTTATGCAAGAATATAATATATGTGGATGCAAGTGTGTGTGTATGAGAATATATGGCACTGTCTGTGAAAGGGTGGACCTATGATGGTGCATGTAAGAGAAGAGAGTATAAATATTTTTATCTGAGCTAGTCTTTATTTGTTTTGTCTTAATATACTGCACATACGTACATACAGTACACACGTACATACTGTACATACATAAACAAACAGGCTTAACAATATTTAGGGAACCTGCACAATACTCTCTCTCAGATACAGCAGCAGCCAGTAGTTCTGACAGGAAGGTGCCAAAGACAATATGGCCTAAAAACCTTAGTGGTTGCTCAACTGGTTGGATCTTTTCACTGTTCCCAACCTAGTGGCCAGTCAGGATGTCTGGCAGTAACAGTTGCTCCATCCGCCAACTAATCGTTCAGGCACTGAGCCCAGCAGGCAGTCTGTCATTCAGCTGGAAATCAAGTGGCCACTTACTGAGCCAGACTGTGAGATTAACAGTTGAGGAGTATAAAACAGCTCACTACACACTCATACACATTTAATATAATCATTGGATCAGTTTGATTGAGGTATTGTTATGCTGTGTGGTATCACACACACTTGCAATTTAAGGATATAATAAGACATTCATATGTTGAGTGAAATCTAAACACAATCGCAAGTGATATTCAACAAAACATGGGTCTTTAACAGATGGATTGTTTAAAGAATGTACAAAATTTCATTGCAACCCATTTGTTGTAGGAATGTTTCAGTCTGGACCAAGATGTTTGGGCGGACTGACCAACCAACAGAGAGAAACCGTCATCTGCTGAGGCCATGCCACTAGCATCTGTCTTTCTCATGTTTTCATCATTTAGCTGACTTTCACCTTTATATATTTATAGTGAGTGCCACACTGGAACAAGCATCAAATTCTAGATCCACAAACATAACCAACGTGTAACATTACCACGCACCTGTGCTCACCAGAAGTCATAACATACCTGCAACCAGCTGTGTCGAACATCTGTGCAAGTCCCTCACTGATTCACGCTATGGCTGACCTAAAATTTCCACTGAGGAGCTATTTTAGGAGGCAGTAGCAATCCTGCAGGGGACTTTCCACTCTGACCTCCCAGGTAGGGTTCAGGAAGTGATGTCAAAGGTCACTACACCCTGTCAGAGGGGGTCAGAGGGTTTGGTAACTGCTGGGGCCCATGTGATAACATGAATAACCTGAACTGTTCAAAGGGAAATCCCTCAGGAAGACAGGGCACCCATCTGCATACCAAATGTATAAAGTTTTCAGCAATCATGTCTACAGAAAGCAATTACGGTATATAGACTATGTGAGACAAGGAATCAGCAGGAGCTCAGATTTTACGAGGGAACATCAATCAGTGTGAAGCTTAACCTCTAGAGTCCCTGCGTCCTCATATGAGGACCGCACAGCTTGGGTTTCCAAAGCTCAGGACTCTAGAGGTTAAGCTGAACTATTTTCTAACTTTATAATTGCTGTAAAAAACGTATGTATACATGAATATACCAGAATTATTGATATATATAT